ATCGTGCAGAGATTAGGCGTATTCACTATGGCTTTTATCGGCTCTTAGACATAACAAGACAGGAATATCTGTATCCATCTCACACCTGGCCCTGCTATTAGCACTGACATCAAGAAACCTAGTGTTGTGACGTCAAAGATAGATGATCTAAAAGAGCAACAAGTCTGCCAACTTTTCCCCAGATGCTTTGTAGGGGGGTTTTAGGGTTAGTTCTGATGACGTGAGGCGGAATGCGATTTACCCGAAGGTGAGCCGACAGAAGCTTGCCGCCGCCCGCCGCAGCCAGGCGTCACAACAAGGAAGCAGGGGCGCATGGGAGTCCCTTAGTTAAAGATTGAACCACTGAGAAAAGACTCCCCTTATACTCCATTTTCTTCAAGAGCGGCCACTCGTTAATGCACAAGTTGATGAAAAAGGGAGTATTGGATCTTCTGAGGTTGCGCTTGGACGTAAGGCGTAGCACCTTGTCGGCAAGGCGGCAAAGATCATTCATGAGCTGCTGATCCAAGAGGACGAAGTGGTAGTGCTGGGGGTACATCAAGCATAGTACCTAAGAAAGGGAAGTCCCTGGGGACAGTGGCATTTCGGGGCTGGGGGGACACGGGTATTTCGAAGAACTCAGCAAAAATGTCCTGCCACCAAAATTGCTGCAGACGAGTGGTGCCCTTAACCAGCGTCAACAAGGGAGAGAAGGATACCAGCAGCTTGGCCTCAAGCTGGGCTGTGAACTTGACAACAGATGTCCGAATGTGCTCTATCACGGTTTTGGCGGCAACACACGCCACCTCATCGACGCTCAGGAGTTGACTAAACTCATGAGCGAGCAGCTGCGTCAGGACCCGTACGGGAGCTGTGGTGCCCTCATCGGCCGGCGCAAATATGGTTTGAGTGGAGTGCTGTTCAAGTTAGAACTGGCACGCTTCGGCTACACTTTTGTCGGCAAAGGCACCGTGTCCGCACGTCCGAGGCGCCTGGAACACGAGTGCAGTATCTATCAGCGACTTGAAAAGCTTCAGGGCGACGTGGTGCCTGTGTACCTGGGCATGATCTCGTTCTGTCCTGGCTATCTTTTGCCTGGCGGTGCGTACGTGATCCATATGATGCTGATGTCATGGGCTGGGCGGCGATGGATCTGGCGCCGTCAAATCTAGAATGGGAGGTGCAACGATCCATACAAACGATCTACGAGAATGGTGTGAACCACCAAGACGAACGTGAGCCCAACCTGCTCTGAAACGCTGAGCGATGCCGCGTGATGGTGATCGATTTCGATCAGGCAACCATCCTACCACCACCTAAACACAAGCGATTGTCTAAACTTTCTAAGGCGGGAAGGAAACGAAAGGGGGATGAGTTTAACTATAACAGCACGAAGCGGGGTGTGCCTGGTGTGCTGAGACGTTCTGTACAATCTGTACAATAGGCTTGGACACGTTCACGCCGGGGAAGGACCCCATGCGATAAAGAAGATGTTATCGTGGCTAAGACGAACTTTTTGGAGCTAAATTGGTACAGCGCGAAATGGTAGTCAATTATAAACTAGGTACACAGCCATGTGCTATTTACTGCCATTTACTCTCGGCCATGCTCGTAGATCAACCCTAGCTTTCGTGCCTCCTTGTGCCACGTATCTGAGCCAAATGAAGCGACAACCAAGTCTTTCGCTTCCTGAATTGCGTCATCTCCTTGCAGGTGCTCGATTGGCAGCCAGGTGGGCTCCCAATAAACTTGACACTCGATAATGCCACCCGTCGCCTGTCGTGCCCCTCCCAGACGCTCAAAGGCGTACGCCTGGCGGCGGCTCACCGACGCGCCCTTCTGCACGCGTCTTCGGGCTCTAGAGGGACCCTGTTTCTCACGTCGAGAACCCCGCGACGTGGGGTTCCTCTTCGGTGCGTCCGTTTTCGTGGGCTTTTCATCGATTCGGTTGCCGTGGCCGTCTGAATCGGGAAGAATCGCACTGTGTCCCCCTAGATCTTGACTACCTTGATTGGCTAGGATGTCGGAGCTGACACCCTGAGTCTGAGCAGCGTCGCCGCTCATTACCTGCTCGTATTTGGCCATGAGCGCTCGAATGCGGTCTCCGTTATGAGCAGAACGGATTAGGGCTGTGTCTCTCACAACATGCGAAGATGAACTGCTGAGGGTTGTAACGCTGGGATCGGGATCCAGACCAGGGTTGGCGTCTAGCTCTCCCGCTCCTTGAACCGACAAAGTATCACAGGAACTAACAGGACTGGCTGGCGAGGAAGCGATCGAGATTGGAGAGTCTGCTAAGAAGCCAGACCTCTGGGTAAAATTCTCCTCAATGCAGGAGTTGGAGAGGCTCATGGTGTTCGGGAGCGCCTGAATGACTTGGCCGTAGCGGTGCGATTCGAAGAAGAAGAAAGGCTGTGTAGAAGCTCAGTCCTGAGACGGGGGAAACTGGCCTCTTTTTAGCTTCACGTTCTGCGGCTCAAATGGCCTTGGACCGAGCCATGACGTCTGGACCAGCTACTGCTTCAGCACGCGCCATCTCGCGGTGTCGTAGCTAATATGAGCAGCATGCAGCCTGCTGCTGCACCGGCCAGCCAACTGCGTAAAATCCTTCCTTTTTTTTTCCACTTCAGGAAGCGCCCGGGTGCCTCGAAAATTGAGAAAGAGTATTCCGAAGCCACCACCAAAGGGCACTTCCCTCTTCCCACATTATAGAAAAGTATGTGGTTCGGGCAGACGCAGAAATAGCACCATCTAAGGATTATGGATAGCTGTAGTACTATCTAGATAAGAGTAACTGGATATCAGGCTCATCCTTGTAGCGGTCCAAAGCCACTGCTTTCTACTCGTTCCAATCCATCCCATTATTCACCCCCAACGCCTCGCGAAGACCGCGAAACAGCCCGAGAAGCCCATCCCAATCCATAAGATCATAACTGCAGCAGAACGCAAACCTGTGCTGTAGTCGGCCATTCTGAACAGTTTGTGCCATTTATTCCTGGCCCTTTTCTTAGAAAAGGCGAGCCAAAAAAAAGTTCGTCTTCGCCTAAGTAATTTTTGCTGTGGTGAAAATCTACAACAAAGAACAACGCAACTGGCGAATTGAAAGCATGTGATGCCGGGGCAGTGTAAGTCCACTCCCAATCAACAATCCCTGTAACGTCACCACAACTCTTTGCGCTCTCGAGTGCGTTGAAATTCCCAGAGGCGATCATTTTTGCCCATATGCCGGCTCCTGTCGAGGTTCGGGGTAACGTATGGCTGACAGGAGCTCAGGACTTAACATTGCTTCCTTGGCCGACCAAGAAAATGCAGATGGTATTCTGTGATTTGGCCTTCTCGTATGTCATGAACGTCATTGTTAATCCCAATGCCCCGATAGCCCTCATCGAATACCTGAACCCTTTGCCTGTCAAGAGTCGTTCGATGAGCCCAGTATGTCGTGCCATTGGGATGTAAGAGCAAATACGTTGGACCCCATTTTTCCAAAATCGGTCTTGGACGTGGAGAGGGCACATTCATCATCTGATCGCTTTTCCGACGTTTATTGCCGGCTCTAGTCTGGCGTCGTCTATCATGGGCAGAGTCGTTAGATAATGGTTTCCTCTCCTCTCCTGAAACATGATGGTCGTTAGTGATCGATCGACCGAAAGCATGATCCTGGCTCCATAATGTTGCGCATCACGGAAACTTTGGTTGAATCTTCCTACAATTAGTAATGCGACCGGATACAATTGGAACGGAGACAAACCCCATGGCGTGGTCACGCAAATCGTCTCCGAAATCGTCCGTATAAGCCATCTGCCACAGTCATTGAATGGGTGGTCTAGCTTGTCTGCAGAAAAGCTGTTAAAGAGAAGAAGTAGGCTGCCTTTATACCTGACTTTGAGTCCGGGCAAGATTTGTATTTATCTGGGCCCTCGTATATCGATACCTTCCCGCGCGGCCGCGCCCAGTCACATCAGAGCCATAATAATACGAAGAGCAATGAACAGCTGTAACTCTCAACCTCTTACCCCTTCTCTACTTGTTTTTTGTAAGTGGAACAAGAATCATAACTATTATTATTCTTCATCACAATTTAAAGCGAACTAAATTCTCGTATCCTTCCAAAATTGAATGAATATCAACTCATGTAGGTCCTCTGTCTACTTAGCACTAAAGACTAGCACATACCGTATCCTCATATTCTATACAACTTATCACACACGATAGCTTTTGCAGAATCATGGCTAGTCGGTACACATGTTTCTCATGTCCTTGACGTTAACCGCCTCCCCCAATAGAAACGACATGAACTTCGCAGTTATGCCACTGAGAAGGGGTTCTTGCCGCTTCATGTGTCTTCCTAATGTGGCTGTTTGATGTTAGATTCGTAACATCCCTGTCGCAAAGAAAGTACCTTTTCGCTGTGCTGGCAAAGAAGTAATGCTTCCCACAGACGCGTAATTGGCAATCAGTGCATCCGGCTATAGCAAGCACATTCACCTCTATGGTTTCCGCATCCATGACACATTCTGTGCAAGGGTCGCCGGTATACCTCTTCTTTATATTGTGAGCCATATGTACAAACGAGTTTCAATGAGAACCAATGATCAATTTGATAGATCGTTTGGGTATAGAATGGCTAGGAGTATTTAAATTGTTCCTGGTAGGGTCAAACTATCCGGCCGTGGCTCCCATCCCTCGCTCTCCTCCGATCCATCCAGGTCACCATCCCTTACCAGACTTTCAAGATCCGCAGTACTAATATCTTCTAGACTCATACAGTTTGTGATCGAGCTCTGACGGGACTGCACGTGTTGAGGGGAAATTCCATCCCACCGTGGAGCTCGACTCGTCTCCTTGGCTTGTGTTCTGGAGCTGTGTGCGGATACCGCCCCCATGACCTGAATGAGGTATGCGTTCAGGAGACCAATCATTGACTGACAGCCGTACTGTACATGTTGTAAAAGGGGTGCCTTCTCAGCAGGCACAAAAGCAGCCACAAGGCCTAGCACGACGCCTAAGACGGCTGGTAGTGTTAGGTAGCCCCAGTGTCGTCGATAGCGTGCATGGATTGAAGCCGCATCGTTGGTGAAGAAAACACCTGTCAGTGTCAAGGCTCCGCTTGAGAGCGAAATGAAAACCCAAAGCCATTGCCTTTGCGTGGTAACAGAGCTCCAAAGCCCGGCAATCAGAACAGTGGCGATGAGCACGCAGGCAGATGCTATGACAGCGAATTTCCTGGCACCCTTCAAAGGAAGTATGAAAAGCCACAAATAAGCCTGAATCTATCATTAGTATTTGTCTTAGCTCGATCTTAAGCAGTACTTACAATTTCTGCCCCAAGGCAAGCTCCATTGATAAGCGACCAGGCGCAGAAAAGCACATATGAGGGCAAATATGTGTCTGCCCTCTGACGTGTGATAAAAAATGCGGAGATAAATGCAGCCGACACAAGGGGGTGAACGAAGAAGGCGACCTTTAGCAAACAGTATCTACCTTTCGAAAGTAACTCAGGATAGTATCTAGCAAGGACGAGGCAAAGGCCGAGATATGCCACTTCAAGACTAGTCACAGCAAGAGCTGAGCTGTATTCTGTCACGCTGATGAGTCGCATCTTGAACAGCGGTGTGCTTTTGCTTTTAATTTCCTCATTTTCCTGGACATGTTTGCAATATGTAGTTCAACGGATATCGAAGAGTGCCTATCATGCAATGCTTCGAAACAGACACTCCGCACCACCGCAACCTTGATCGGAGAAACGGAAATATTGTTCTTAGGCAGATTCAGTTTTAGTAGCTACGTAGGCAAGGGCAAGCATCTGAGCGCAAGAAAAAGTATTACAATCAGCTGTCCTTTTCATGATCATACCTTCAGCCAAGGACATCCTTGCAACACAACAGCCTGCAGAGAAAACTACGCTAACTAAAAGAGTTGCCATTGGTGTTATCATCAGCAATGCATACTGTTTTGGTTAGCGTGAATCAATCTCGCCCTGGATTACCCCGCACGTGCAAGAAATGCCCGCCCCCAGCCGAGAAGCAGCCTTTCTCGTTTGTAACTTACACAAAACCTCGACAGTCATGCCGAAACGCAAAGCCAGTGACAATACATCCCGGGCCCAGAAACGTCCAAAGCCCATAGTGCTGACTGTTCTGGAATTGCGCAGCTTGTTAAATCCCTACAACGACGAAGATTCAGCCGATGTCATATTCGAAGACCAGAAAAATCATGCAACTCTCCAACGACTGTATGAGTCCCTTTGCCGCCGTTTCACTGTCAGAAATAGACCTGACGGATTGAGAGCAAAAGTAATCGACAACATCAAGACGTCTAATCTCGAAATCGCGATATCAATTTCCAGCCAGTTTTCGACCTGGGAACAAGGACCTTATCAGTTCTGGTGGCCAGAGCCACCTCAATCAATCGCACCAAAATATCCGCATGGCAGTTATCGTCAACGATTTTTCAAAGCCGCCATAGAGCAGCGCAGGCAACTACAGGTTCGAAGAGTTCTGGGAAGATTCACGAGCATCGCTATGTACTTGGCCTTCCAGCGAGTATGTCCAACCGGGGTATCATATATCCAGACGAAATCTGTTCGGCACTTTCTGCAGTTTATGGGCTGTGATGTCACACAAGAGACCGTCGCGTCTTGCAAATGCATTATCACAGCTGGAAAGCGTCGAATAGCGTTTTGTGACGAGCTCGCACGACACGGTGACGCCACACCACAACCCCGACGGTCGCACCATACAACTGCAGCCAATGAGGAAAGCCAGAATGGAGAGACGGAGGAGTCTGAGGACGACTGGTATAGAGAACCGAGTGGCAAATACTACAAACGTACACTAGGAATTTATTTCCTAGATATCATACCTGATTCGATGTAAGATTCGCTCGTCAATTGATGAGACAAATTGCTGACCAGCATAGCTGCGATGAAGGGAAGTCTTTGCGGAAGAGAGACCTCGATGCGAGCGTGGAAGCACTTCGTTCCATTAAAGCACTTGACTGGTTAGCGAAATCTAAAACCGAACGCTTGGCAAATTTGTTGCTTGACTATCAGCACGAGCTGCTTTGGACTACACAAGGCACAACATCTGCCGATAAAGGCGCCGCCAACCCTGCTGGGATGGGTAATCGACAACTTCACCAGCATGGAAACGTCTCTGCGCCAGAACGTCGACCAAACTGCGTGGCATCGACAACTTCGACAATGGCACAACCCTCTGTATCTGGAATGATGAGTCTGCTCACGGCAGCACGAATAACGGAGACACTGGAAGACGATACGAGCTCTCCCTCGTGGGGTCCAGGAACCCAAACATATTCTATGCCATCAGATACTGGCTTCCTTGAGAGGCCATTTGACAGGCGTGATTCAGTTGGAACTAACGCCAGGCCAGCTGAGGGTACTTCTGACTATTACATGGACTTGAATCAAATCGACTGGTTCTCCAGGAGCAGCAACGTTGCTGGCGATACAATCGATTACCCGATGCAGCCTGTTTCCTTCGATGTGAACGCCACCTGCCAAATGAGTTCCTTGGAATCCCAAGACGCCAACTATCATGTAGATGCTGGTTCTGTCAACTGGTTCTTGGGCGGCAGGTTACCAGAGGTTATCGAGCAATGAATTGCAAATAGCCAACGCCTGAAGAAATTTTATGTTTTGTTCACTATCCAAAGTAAGTATAATGTACAATTCTCTTGCACTTGGAGAGCCACTGTCTTCGATATATGGCCCTTCACGCCGAGTGCAAGCTCAATATTATGATTTCCATCCAATGCCGAGTAACCCGCGCCTGCGATTGGTATTAGGTCGCCAACACCAAAGAAGTACTTCGGATTTCGAGGTCGACCGCAAATTCGGATGAGGGTGCATTTCTCATTCTACACCATTCATTAACATATGTCAACCGCAAACATTTACGAATACAGCATACCGATGCTAAAATTCGACTTATACTATGGTAAGTATCTTTTTGCGAATATTGGTCCATCCCGTCGTAGTCGGCTAATGGTACCCAGCCCCCTGGGTTATTTTCAGCATGATCCAAAAGCTCACTTAGGAGATCCTGCTGATCCAAAGGCAGTGCTACTGCTGTAACTGCTTCGCTCATTGCGGTAACTTGAGGTTCGCTGTTATCTCCCATATGTACTTATGTCGGAGCTTGCAACGTAAGAAGCTCACCCATCGCCGTCCACGACGGACGAGTATTTTCTATTACGGCGGGGGGCAATGGCGGGGCAAGTGTCATTGTTCACGGAGCGAATCACGTGCAAAAGTGAGAGTGGCTCGCCCTGTCGTCTAGGTGGAGTACGGTTTTTTTTTTTTTTTTTTTTCAATTTTTCCTACTCTGTCTTTCTTCAAGACCCTATAACGTTTTTCGTGATGCACCAGTCGAACCCGCGGATTGATTTTAATGTACCATCGCCGCCGCCCCAGAGCGGACCAAATCATGCCCTCGTGGCAACGGCTCCTCAAATGGGAGCCGACTGCGACGAGCCCGGCAACGCTACAAAAATACATCACTTCACTTTTCATGCAACCGTCTTCAAAGGCATCTGATACATTTCTCAAGCTGTAAAAGGAAGGAGCGGGAACAAAACCCTCCCAAAAGAATCACGTAGGCAAAGGCAGTATTAATTCTGTAGTGCGGACGCATTGGACCTAACCAGTTAGATTACGACAGCATCACCCGCCACTTGCGGACAGTCGCTTTATTTTACTTGCTCACCTCAAGACCAAAGGTATTCTCCCACTCTCTTCCTTCTCAAGCAGTCAAGACTTGACCATCTGTGAAGCTGCCCTTTAATATATATCACCGATCTGGGCCGATGAGAAATATCTATTAGTGTCTACAATGTATAGCTTCGGGTCGTAGTTCCCTTTGCTAGCCACGGTCCAACGTTTTTACCTACGTTTGAGCCACCCTCTCCTTCTTCAAGTATATCACTTTCTTCGTCTGAGCTTGATTCATCAGCAATCCACACATGCTCGCGAATGGCTTGCTCAGCAACAGGGTAACCATCTGCGTCCCTGAGCCACATGAACATACTTCGCGTCAATGACCGAGAGCAATCTTGATCGCGATCAAGTTTTTCGTACGGGACCGTCCCTTCACCACCCGCTATCTTAATCAGTGGTTTGGAATTCGTCCACGAATCCGCAGCCCCATTCTGAAATATTGTAGTGTTATCCTTACAGTCCCATGATATGCCTGTATATCTTAACCCATGGTCACCAGCGCAT